CCCGACAAAGAAACTCAGAATGGGACTCACTATAAATACACAGACACCAATGGGACACACCTGGGAGAAAATTAACTAATTAAACAAACACAGCTGGAACCAAATTCATACAACGAGGACAGGAACAGGAAGGACCAAATAAGGAAAACAGGAACTAAACGGGAACATACACGTGACACCAACAGACACTGAGTTGGTATTATATGGTAAACCTTTAGAAAGAGTTCATGTTTTTAAGTATCTGGGAATTTGGTTAGATGAAAGTTATACTTGGAAGAAACATATTGAAGAAACAGATAAAAAATGCAGGAACATTTTAAATGTGATGAGATCAGTTGCTGGAAAAGAGTGGGGAGCAGATAGAGAAACTATGTTAACAATATATCAAGCCCTGATTAGATCTATACTTGACTATGGATGTATGGTGTATGATGCAGCATCAGCAACATTGTTAAGGAGATTAGATAGAATACAATACAGAGCACTCAGGATATGTCTAGGAGCAACTAAAACAACTCCAGTCAATGCACTATTAGTAGAGGCAAATGAAATGCCATTAAGATTATGTAGAGTAAAATTGTCCCTAGTATATTGGACATCAATGAAGAGTCATGCTGGAGAACATATTTCTAAAGATGTATTGAATAATTGTTGGGAATATACAAAGGAAAAAGGAAAGGGTTTTGGATGGAATATTAATCAACTAGCAGAAAGATATCAGATTGCAAATATAGAATGTAGTATGTCTCCAGTATGGGGCGAGGTACCAGCTTGGTTAATTCCTGAAGTTAAAATTGATTTGGAAATACTAGACAAGAAAAGGGACTGGGAGGAAATGGGTAATATCAAATATATGGTGAATAGACATTTACAGCAAAGATTTTATGCGAGTACGCATATTTATACAGATGGATCAAAAGACCCAAATATAGGGCTTGCAGGAATAGGAGTTTTTATCCCGGACTTGAATGTATCAATAACTAAAAGAGTATCATCTAAGCTATCAATATATGCTATTGAAATGGTCACTATCATAATAGGATTGATGTGGATTGAAGAGGTAAGACCAGACAGAGTAGTGATATGCTCTGATTCTGCTTCTGTGTTAACATCGTTGTCCACCCATCATTCATGTAGAGAAGACTTATTAAGTGAAATATTGACATTATTATGGCGTGTACAAAGAAAAGGTGTATTAGTCGGTTTCTGCTGGGTGCCAGCACATGTGGGCATATTGGGAAATGAAACAGCTGATAAATTGGCAAAAGATGCTTTAAAAAAGCAAGAAGTAGATGTTAATGTTGCTTTAAGTAAAGGTGAAGTCAAAACTATAATTATGGAAAATATTCTAAAGGATAATCACACGTAGCACAAGGAGGGGACATAAACAATTCCCGACAAAGAAACTCAGAATGGGACTCACTATAAATACACAGACACCAATGGGACACACCTGGGAGAAAATTAACTAATTAAACAAACACAGCTGGAACCAAATTCATACAACGAGGACAGGAACAGGAAGGACCAAATAAGGAAAACAGGAACTAAACGGGAACATACACGTGACACCAACAGACACTGAGTTGGTATTATATGGTAAACCTTTAGAAAGAGTTCATGTTTTTAAGTATCTGGGAATTTGGTTAGATGAAAGTTATACTTGGAAGAAACATATTGAAGAAACAGATAAAAAATGCAGGAACATTTTAAATGTGATGAGATCAGTTGCTGGAAAAGAGTGGGGAGCAGATAGAGAAACTATGTTAACAATATATCAAGCCCTGATTAGATCTATACTTGACTATGGATGTATGGTGTATGATGCAGCATCAGCAACATTGTTAAGGAGATTAGATAGAATACAATACAGAGCACTCAGGATATGTCTAGGAGCAACTAAAACAACTCCAGTCAATGCACTATTAGTAGAGGCAAATTAAATGCCATTAAGTTTACGTAGAGTAAAATTGTCCCTAGTATATTGGACATCAGTGAAGAGTCATGCTGGAGAACATATTTCTAAAGATGTATTGAATACTTGTTGGGAATATACAAAGGAAAAAGGGAAGGGTTTTGGATGGAATATTATCCCTCTCCATTCGATTGTCCCAATCTTCCGATGTCACCATTTTAAGAGGTGTGACATTTTAAGAGGTGCCCGAGAAAGCTTATCCGCTGTAACCAACTGTTTCCCTGGAACATATTCAATGGAGTAATCGAATCTGAGAAGTCTCAAACGAAAACGCAGAATTCTGGGAGGAATATCATCCAATGCTCTGGATCCTAATAGAGAAATCAATGGTTTATGGTCAGTTTCGATATCAAATCTCAGTCCCAGCAAGTATGAATTAAGTCTATCACATGCCCATGTCACGGCCAATGCCTCTTTTTCAATCTGGACATATCTTGATTCTGCAGATGTCAAACTTCTTGATATATAAACAACTGGTTTCCACTTTCCATCATCTTGTTCTTGCATTAAGACTGCTCCAAGACCATATGAAGAAGCATCTGCAGACACCAACGTTTTTTGATTTGGGGTATATTTTATATTTTATTCTCAGGTTCTGGTAGGTTGATAACAGCATGGATTTTTTCAGGGTCAGGTTCTATTCCTTCTTCACTTACAATATGACCCAAGAATTTTACTTTTGGCACACCGAAGACACATTTTTCATTGAGAGTCAAAACAGTTTTCTCAAACTTCTTTAACACCTCTATCAACCTTTCCTCATGTTCCTTCTTGTTTTCCCCAAACACAAGTATATCATCTGCATGACAGACTGTCCCAGGAATTCCTGCAATCATCTGAGAAATTCTCAACTGAAAATATTCTGGAGCTGAGGAAATCCCAAAGGGAAGACGTTGAAAACAATAACGTCCAAATGGGGTGATAAAGGTAGTCAAAGGCTCAGATTCTTTGTGTAAAGGGATTTGCCAAAAGCCAGATGTAGCATCTAACTTTGAGAAAATGGAAGCACCTTTCAGCTGTGCTAATGTGTCATCGACAGCTGGAAGTATATGTCTCTCAAGACAAACACTCATTTAACTTAGTCAGATCTACACAAATTCGAACATTACCATTGGGCTTTGGAACCACCACCATCCCAGCACACCAGTCAGTCGGTTCTTCTATCCTTTGGATCACTCCTTCTGACTCCATTCTTTGCAAGTCTGCTCTCACTTTTTCCAGCAACGGTAATGGCACACGTCGCGGCACAGAGAGGGCATAGGGTCGAGCTCCATCTGCCAATTTAATCTTATAACTTCCTTGTAACTGCCCAAGTCCTGTAAAAACACTGGGAAACATATCTTTATATTGGAAGCCAGCATCTTGCACTTCGGCAACTTGTTGTATTAGCTGAAGCTCTTGAATAGCTGGAAGACCCAATAATGGCATGACTAGATCTAATATAACGTACAATTCTTGTTTTATTTTATTTTCCCCTTTTTTAATTTCTGCCTCAAATGTGTCTAAGACTTTCAGTGGAGATTTGTTAGGACCACAAATTCTTTTTTTCGACACTTTAAGTAATCCAGCTCTACTTTCAGAGTAAACAGATTCAGGAATAGCTGACACCGCTGCTCCAGTATCGAGTTTAAAAGACATGGCTTGTTTATTAAATTCCAACTCTTGAATCCAGAACTCTGCTTTTTGGTCTGTGTTTATTTCTCCCATGAATACAACTTCCTCCTCTGGCAAATCTCCTTCATGGACTCTTTCCAACATTTCTTGTCTCATTTTCTTTGGGATTAATACACAATCTCCTTCCACAATAGTCTCGACTCTCTTTCCGGTCTGACACATGTATGCGAAATGTCCCTTTTTTTTTTACATTGCCTACATTCAGCCTCTCTAGCTGGGCAAAATTTCCATGAATGAGCTTCCCTTCCACATCTTTTACAAACATTTTGAGGCATTTTCTCTGTCACCCACTTAGACGTTTTTTTTTAATAACTCTGTTGCTTAGACCTTCTTGCGGCCATTACAGAATCCACATTGAAAGATCTTTGCTCAGAAATTTCAATTTGCCTTATCAACGGTTGCTGTTTTTTCACTTCCTCTTGTTGTCTGACTTGTGTTATCGTTTTTGCCAAAGTTAATTCTGGATCCAATTGCAATCTTTCAGACAATTTGGAATCTCTAATGCCAACAACAATTCGATCTCGGATCATTTCCTCTTCTAATGCTCCGTATTTACAATGTTGTGTCAATTTATGCACATCAGTAATAAAACTTTCTGCTGACTCTCCCGGCTGTTGACATTGGCTATTAAACTTTGCCCGTTCACAGATGACATTATACTTGCTGATAAAAATGACTCTCAAATGCCGCTTTTACAGTTTCATATTCTTTTTGTTGCCGCTCCGACAAGGCTAAAGTGTTCAGGACATTGTCACTCTTCTCTCCCATAATATAAAGTAACGAGTTTACCTGGTAAACTTCTTCTTTGCCGGCGAGGCCCGAGGCCAGTCTGAACCTTTCGAAGCGTCTTATCCATTGCGCCCATGAATTCAGTTCATGAAAATAAAAGTTCCCCGGAGCAGTCAGAGAAAATACTTGATCCATTGTCACCACTTCTGACACCATGTAGAAACCATTGTTTAGTTGCAGCAGATGCCAATCAAACAAAGAGGCAGACAGAGGGCATTGCAGTACGTTTGTCTTTTACTCTCCCCCTTCTATTCCAGTCTCTCACATTTACATACATTCGCATACCGCCATCTAGTGGCTATACATATTTAATTCCTATCACAACAAAAAGAGTTTCAAATTTATGGAGAAATTTTTTTTTTTTTCTTATCGCCCCCCCCTTTTTTTGTTATGTTCATAAGTCATTTTGACGATAATAGATAACATGACTGCACAACAGCAACGTACTGTAGGTGGCGCTATACATTTAGATTGTTATGCGCCAAAAACACTAAAGAAGAAGAAGATGCGTCCAAATACCATGCGTCATCTTCAGCGGCAGTGACGTCAACAGCGAGGCTCAGTTCGCCCAGTTCACCTGATGCGCTTACACCTTCAAACAGGTAAAGGCAACAATCTTTTTTTTAATGAGATCTCGTGGTTAACGGTATTATTTTAATTATTTCAGTGTTTCTGCATCAGGTTACATGGGGTCATGTGTTAAAATGGCAGCGTATGTGTTCAAATTATGGAACAGTGGGCTGCTCAGTTAGCACAGCTGCTAAAGATAGCCTACCATTGACATCAGCCTAAGCTAACGTCTACTGTATATAGACCTGTTGCATTTTGAAATAAATAAATAAATAAAACCGTTTTTAATCATGTTGTGACATGGGTCTTCAGCTTTTAGACATGGCTGATGACAGCA